CTCTTGTTCATTAATATTTGTTTTATATAGTTGGGTGCATCTGTATTTGGTCAAATGTATTTGACTATTTTCTTGGAGTTTTCCCATAATAGCATATAGTGAGTTTCTTTTGATAAGTCTTGGCTTGGAGGTTACAGTGTCTGCAAATAGAATAGCTACTCCTTTTTGTGGGGTTCCTGTTGCATGGAATACTGTTTTCCATTCCCTGACTTTCAGGCTATTAAATATTTTTTAGTTTAAATGTATTTCATGTATGGAGCAGACAGTTGTAATTTGTTTCTTGATCCATTCTGTCAGCCTTTGATTAGTGAATTGAGACCAACTATAACTGGTATGTATTAGCTTATCCTTGTCATATTATTTTCCTGCCGATGGTTCCATCTCTCCCCTGTTTAACTGCTTCTCCTTTATGCTGGCTTCTTCTTGCTATTGGTGGTCTCAAAATTTTGGTCTTTGTTATCTCTTTCTAAAATATCCTTCAGAACATTTTGTGGAATGGGTTTGGTGGTTATGAATTTCATCCACTGTTCTTTGTCCTAAGAGCATTTTATTTCTCTATTTATTTTGAAAGATATTTTTGCAGGATACATCAATCTTGGTTGCAAGTTTTTTCCAGGACCTGAAATATTTCACTCCAAGCTCTCCTTAAGTGCTTGTGCTGTGCCTAATTCTGATGGGCTTTCCTTCATAGGTGATTTGTTGGGGGGGTTGTTTAATAGCTTTTAATATTTAAGATTCCTTTCTTCTCATAGTGACTGACTACAATCCTATCTTCTGGATCTGATATTCTCTTCTTGCCTTCATTCAAGGGGTTGCATGTACATTTAATGGAATTTTTAATCTCCTGGATATCTGTTGAAATCTGTATCATGAATTCCATTTCTTTCCTATGTTAGCCATTCATAGTTTCCACATTCCTAAGTTCCTCTGCTTTTATCTGCATGTAGAGTCAATGGGTAAGTCCTTCATTTTTATCTCATTACTTTTTTTTAACCTAGAGATTATTTTCTCTAAGGCTCATTCACCTGCATTCTACTTTTGTTTTTGTTTTGTTTTATCTCTGCTATTGCCATTTCAGAAAATTCAGGTGGATGGCTTTCCTTTACCTCTTTGCCCCAGGTCTTGTCCTGAATGGACTGGAAGTCTGGAGTTGTATTTCACTTCTGTGTCTTGTCATTTTCTAGTATTTTATTTTATTTTATTTTCTGTGCTTATACTTGTAAGTTTTTATAGTAGACAGCTTTATCACTATTGATGCCTTCATAGGAAATGTCTCTTCTTCAGGGATGTCTTCTAGGTGTAGGTAGTTCTTGGGTTTTGCGTCTGTCCCAAGATAATACCTTCCTAATTTATTAAGGATGCAAAGTTGCTATCTATGTGGCACCTATAGACAGCACCAAGTACCCAGGACTCAGGCACTGAACTATGGTGATGGTTGCTTGCCCCAGTCACAGTGTTGCCATACCAGGAAAGGCAACTGATGACAACAGGTATGAAATTCTGGTTAAAGTAGTACAATTAGCAGTAACTATAGTATCAAGCATAGTCTTGCAACTGACAAACTGTAATAATTTGGTACCTTTAGCCATAAGGACAAGATCTACACTTACATGACAAAACCCAATATAATTCAGCAACTTATATACAAAGAGTTTCCCCTTAGTAGAGTGATTTCACTTTGAACAAAACAAAGATATAAGAAATAGAGTCGATTCCGATTTGATTTGAAACTGTCTCATTGCTATCTGTTTATCAATAAAACTTTGAAAAAAAATTAAAGAAAAGAAAAGAAAAGAAATATAGTCGAAGCAAAGCTGAAATGCAAAGGATGACCACACAAATTTTGGAAAACTAAAGAGGGAAAGAGAGAAATAATGAAGGAAAAATTAAAAGATTATCAAAGTGGGCCAGAAAAACTAGAAACAATGCTCACTCACATAAGAATATTATAAAATCAAGAGAATTGAGGAAAGAAAAAAGATGACTAGAAAAAAAAAGGTAAAAACTTAAGCAACCAAAAGAGAGAGAGAGAGAGAGAGAGAGAGAGAGAGAGAGAGAGAGAGAGAGAGAGAGAGAAAGGAAAATTAACTAATGAAAAAAACAAACCAAGCATAGTGGCAAATGTATGTAATATCAGCACTTGGGAAGCGGAGACAGAAAGACTGCTGCAAGTTCAAGACCAACCTAGGCTACATAGTGAGTGCAAGGCCAGCCTGAATGACACAGTGAGACGCTTTCTCAAAACTGTAAGTAATAACAATAATAACAACATTCCTCTGGTGCTCACAGTTCTGTGATAATGTCCAAATCATCTGGCTAATCCCACCAAGCCTGCAGAAGGATTAGCACTAGTTGAGGGGCTGATCTTGACCTCATCATGTGGAGGGGTAGGGCTAGAGCTTTCAGCCATTAACTTTCTGTATGTCTCTTTGTCACCTATGCACTCCTTACCCTGTTTGTCTCTGTGTCTCTCTCTTAGTTGCTGTGGCACCTATAGACAGAAACAGCCCAAGGCTGCTCTCGGTCCTGTGTACAGCTCGCTCCTCCTGGTCCCGGCACAGCCTCCTCTATCCACTCCCACTGGCATGTGTCTGTTCTCCCATGCCACTTGTTGCAGGGGAGGGAGAGGGGCAAATATGCTGTTGACTGATACTCTGCTCTTACTGTTGGCATTCAAGTCTGCTCAGTCCCAGTTCAATCTCCCCTCCCAAGGGGGTGGGGGAATGCGAACCTCCCTCTAGTTGCTATGTAATGGTACAAGGTTGCTGTGCCACAGTAGAAGGCTGCTTAAATCCTGTGTCCCTCTTTCAAGCCACTGGTCATGGGGCAGGAGGAGTCATACTGTTCCATTCATTACTTTGACTGCCACCACTCTGTGGTCCCTAACCTTTTTGTCCCTAGAGTTACAGCTAGCCACTTTGATTCACAACAAAAACCTGGAAGCTCATTGGAGAGGGAACAATTCACGTGCTCTTGTGTGTGCTGGTGGAATTTACTGCTGGGCTGCAGCATCCACTGTCTGGAGGAAGGCAAAAAGAGCAAGGGGACTTGTATCCTAAATCTATCCTGTGTGGCTTAAGTTAGCCACACTATTTTGGTCTGTCCATTTCTTTTTTAACTTCACACTATGGCAGTTCTGCTCTGCCTGCAGGAGGATAACCCAGCATCAGCCCTGTGGCCTGAATCACCATTTTGTTAAGTTCAGTGCCTGTGTTTTGTTTGATGTATAGGTCTCTTATTTTAGATTCATTTTCACATCAGGATATATGACCCTCCCTTTCTTACAACTACCTGTGTCTTCAGTTGATTTTCTCTGAGTAGCTCCAACATGGCTCCTCCTCTGTGCAGCCATGTTGAATCTTTTTTTTTTCTTTTTAACCAGGGATCAAACTTATGATCTTGTGCTTTCCAGGCAGACAATTATGCTACTGAGCTATCTCCCCAGTGAATCTCTTATTTTCTAACATAAGTATTTACATAACTTACAAATGCTAAAACTTCATTCCATAAAATTTTTCTACTTATTTTTCTTCACCTTCACTTTAAATATTTTATATATCTATCATAAGTCTAGTACATAACTGTTTTAGTTTTATAGTTCATCTTTCCTGCATTTATTTCAAGTTTTGTTGCATTTTTTATTTTAAAGAAAAAAACAATAAAAATAATGATACAGAGTTTCAAAACAAGATAATAGGAGATTAAAAATGGTTAATATATTGCATATTGATATCTTCAAAGTAGTTGCTCAGATAACAAGATAGAGCCAAGAAGATAGCTCAGCAGCATAAGTGCCTGTCTGGCAAGTGCAAGGTCGAGTTTGATTCCCAGTACAAAAAAAAAAAGATTACAAGATAAAGGCATGAAAGATTAAACAATATAACTCCAAACTGTTCTTTTTAATTAGTGTATTTATCTTAACTAGTATATATATTTCTTTTCCCTTCCTTCTTTTCTCCTATGGATGCAACTTGAGACCATATTCACAAGTAAAATAAATCAGACTTGCATGTATAAACATCCTATTTTCTCCCTAGTGTAAAAACCTGAAAGAGGAAATAAGATCCAAAATGTACAGGAGATAACTGTGAAAAAAGAAGAAACCGCAAGGAAAGAACAACTGGGATCGGAGAAAGGAGAAAAGTTTTATCACTTTATGATTCAAATGTGTTTTTTACATGATACAGAATCTTTTAAATGGGTTGAAACTTTTGGAGCCTAGTAAATAAACTTGAAAAGAATGAAGGCCGGCCAGATAGCTCAAGGGTCAGCCAAATCCCAGCGCTTGGGAGGCTGAAAACAGGAGGATCACTATAAGCCCGATCTACATAGTGAGACTGTGTAGACCCTGTACTAAATGTATTTTTTAAAAAGAAAAATGTGTTTATTTAATTGGATAGGTTCATAATGCTAGCTATAGTTTCTGTCTAACTATTCTTGGGACACTGTTAAATGTATTTTATCTCTTTTTTTTGTATTTTATCTCTTAATTCAAACTAGCCTTTTGAAATAAAAAGCTAGTTTGAGTTTCAAGAAATTCATGAAAGCATAAATGTGTAAAAACTACTTTAATTTTTTTAAATGCCATGTTAAACTCATGAATTAACATAAATTGGAAACTGATTATGTTAGTTCAATATTGTGCCATCACTTACCCTGAGAATAATGCTGTTTTATTCTATGTAGCTTTCAAAATCACTCCTTAGAAAATGATCAAGTTCAGTATTTTACTAATTTATAATTGAAATGGTTTTTAGTTTTGCTTTGTCTTCATCTCAGCAAGTCAAAGGTATACATATCAGCCCAAGTTTGTAAACTATATTATTAAGATATTCTTTACTGTTATTTTTCTGCATAATTCATTATTTTCAGAGAAGTACAGTCCTTTTGATACCACATTTCAGTACTGTACATATTTTTAGTACTGTACATATTTCATCAGCAATAAAGAATTTAAGTTCTAAGAAATGCGAAACTCACTCTGTTTTGTTTTAATTTAGGACTCTCTCAGTCAAGTATTGGTAAGTTCTTGTATTATACAACTCTATTGTCTCATAGATTTCATAGATCCATTTTATATTAGTTTTGCTATTCACTGCTTTTCCCCCTCACATGTAGACTCTATTCTTTTTCTTTTTTTAAATTTTATTTTATGTATTTGGTACAGGATCTCACTACGTAGCTCAGACTCATAGTCATCCTGTTTCAGCCTCCTCAGCACTGTATGCAGTACTGAGGATCAAATCCAGGTTGCCTGCACTTGCCAAGGCAGGTGCTTAGACCACTGAGCTATCTCCAAGGCCCTACGTAGGCTCTATTCTTCTATTCAATCACTGAAGTTTCTGCTGTTGCTTAAAACTCAATTTCCAACCATGGTCTGTGGCAAATGGGTCATTTCCTAGCATACCCTGACCAATAGAAAGGTTTCATAGTACAATTTTAACCATTCTATTTTCTTTTGTGAGTCTTAGATTTAGAAAAGGAAGACTACTTACAGGTTAACAATAGAGAAGACATGGGTACTTGATTCATGTAATGCTAGGTGTTAAAAACACAGGCTTCATAGGGCCGGGCAAAGAGCTCAGTGGATTAAAGCACCTGCAAGCAGGAGCAGGGGCCAGGGGTTTGATCCTGGGCCTGCCGTGCCAGCACTGCCCCTGGGGCACGCCGAGCCAGGATTGAGACTGGGCGTGGTGGCGCATGCCTATAATTCCAGCTCTTGGGAGGCTGTAAACAGGTAGATCACTAAAAATCTAACCTAATAATGAGACCCTGAACACCCTACCCTGTAGACCCTTCTCTAAAATAAAAAAAAATTAAAAAAAAACAGTCTTCAAAAAAAGACATTCAAGTGGACAGTAAAATTCCCTTTCATTCACCAACAAGGGTTGGTATATTGCTCTTGAAAACTTCTCTGTCTAGTTTTCAAATTTGTGTCTCCATTTCAATACTTTAAAAAAACACTGTCCAATTTTTTACAACTGATTAGAAAGGGTAACAGAGCCATCTTGACAGCAAGATTTCTTTCCCTGAATTGATTATATCTTGTAATGACTGATCAAGAACTTCTGAATTTTGCTCTGTTGCTACTCAACATTCCCACAGGACATAAATAATTTTTGGAAAGTGGAAAGTCCCTGTTAAGGCATCATTTAGTAACAACTTGGTGTAATAAATAATTTTTTAAAGAAAAAAAACAAGAAATTTAGAGAAAGGAAGAGGAGCAAAGGTAACAGGGAAGAAAAGAAAAAGAGTAGAAAAATTAAACAAGCTATAGAGACATGAAAATTTTCAAGGACTAAGAATTTAGCAGTCTTCCAAAACATTTTTATTCTCCTACTCACAGAAATTAGAACATGTGGCATGGATCTTACAACCTTACTCTACCACAAGAGCATGAGCTGAAAAACACACAAAAGTCTCAAGTTTATCCCTCAAAGCAAACTATTAATAGTCATCTGGGAGCATAGTACATTGTCTTGCAGTCGATAAGAAAAAAAGCAGATATGATTCGCTTATTCCCTTTTCCTCACATGCTTGCTACAATGCAACACCTCTGAAATCTCAGTTGTCCTGGAGACTTTCAGGGCTCACTCTTCTTTTTCTTTTCTTTCAGCAATATCTCGATCAAGTATTGGTAAGTTCCTCTGCTTTTTTCCATTAAGCATTATAATTGAAGTTAAAGAGAACTCAGTGATTAATAAAAGTACAGAGAATTAAAATGCTCTTGGTTGGCAAGATGGTTTTGTCAATACAATAACTTTTAAACTTAGAGAAAGAAAGAAAGTAGGTTATGAAGTAAGCAGACAGCGAGGGAGAAAAAATTGCAATTAAAATTATTCTTATTGAGTTCATACATTTAAAGTTTTATTGATAAACAGCAATGAGACAGTTTCAAATCAAATCGGAAGTACAGTTTCAACAAATAATACCCTGCATATATTCTTCTTAGTGGTT